ACCAGCCGGAGTGAGCCCGGGGCCCGCCGCGCTCGAGCCCCCGCTTCGTGCTGGCGTCGGGCGGTCGCCCGTGCCGCGCAGGGTAACTCGGGCTCCTGCCGCTGCTCGTGCGTGCAACAGGTCTCGGCGAAACCAACAGGATCGGCTCTGTCCGCGGCGAACAAAAAAAGCTCGAGTCTCCCAGCGAGCCGCTGTTTGCCTTTGCTGCCCTCCTGCAATTTCCCGTTGTTGGAGACGGTGGTTTGCGCTGCAGCCAGTCTTTCACTCTGTCTAGGCAAAGGTGCTAAGCGCTTGCAGCTCCTGTAGGTTTTCACGGAGATTTGTTTGCAAGTGCTCGATGTTCTTGAAATTGGGCGTTGATTTTCAAGAAAAACTCGCTTGGAGAGTTTGAAAGTCTCTGAGTTCTTAATAGCGTTGCTTAAACTACAAACATGAGATGGCTTATTTCAGTTGGCTCTCTTTCCTTTTTTTCCCCAACCGTAACGGAGAACTTCTCAGCACAGACTTCTTTAAGTACTAGGGGAGTAGATCTGCTATTTGTAAAGAAGCTGTTTTAAAAAAAAAGGTTGTTAGACGGTTCTGTAGCTACTAATTAAGACCAAATTTTTTGCGCAGGAGGGACAGGGAGATACCTAGTTTTATTTTTTTATACTTCGGCATCCAAGGGCCGAAGTAACAGCTGACGCTGGCCTTAACTCTAATTTCTGAGTTTGTTCTTATTCAGTTTGTGTGGACTAATTCTCTGTTACTTGGGATTCAGTGATAGCGACTGTAAGCTGAGGCAGCATATATTAATGAGCTCTAGGGCCTTAACTGATCTAACTTGATAGTTTAGAAATATGACATCAGGACAGTGCCATTAATGTTTTCATGTGCAGGGGGAAAGGAGGTGCCCTGTTGTGTTCCTTTTAAGAAAAAAAAAAAAAAACCTTGTATATGTGCCTTGGCTGTCTATTCAAAAGTTTCCCCTCAGCTTAATATACTTTTTGTTGTTTTGCATACTTCCTCTGTGTATTTTTTTTTTCGTGTCCTAGTTGCAGGTTTGACCTGCCCCTCCTGCTCCCCACACATGCACATACTGGGCTAGTACAAACTTCCTAGATATGTTTATTGGATGACCCTGTCAAATAGATTCTTTATCTAAAGTTATGATAGGTTATAGAATAAGATGCTGACTAGTTCATTTCGAGTCAAGTTGGGAACGATACACTACAACAACTGTGTTGTTGTATTCTCGCAGGGATCAACTTATAGTGACTGACTATATCTAAGATTCCTTTGAGTGGATCTTATTAAGGCAAACCAGTGGCATTGGTATAACTGGGCCTTAAGTTTCTTTTAGTCTATTTGCAGGCCTTGAAATCGATCCCCAAATACTTCTGAGAATGGCCTGAAAGTGCACAAGAAAAACACTTCACCTATGTGCTGTCGCTGTGCTGAGTAGATAACTTCATTTTCTGTTCACTAGTCTGTAACAGATGTACTGTCAGTCTCATTTTGATCTTAGCCTTTGGAGGTGTGCTTACACTTATACAGGGGTTGTCCTTAACCTTTGTCTTTCCATGAATCGCCTTTCCTCGTCATGCTTTGCAGCCTGAATCAGATCACTCACGTTTGTAGTTTATTTCATCCGTGTGGCCATGAAGTGCATCCCTTGAAAAGCACAATTTGAATACGAATTGATCTGCAAGCTGCTTGGGTCAAAAGATGAATCAAAGAGAGAAAAAAGGGGTTCAAAAGGAACAAAAGACAGAATGGAAATGGTGGAATTGCTTTCTGCGGGTGGCTGTCCTCTGTGGGTAGGTTCTGCATGCGTTTCAGAAAAGGGGACACGGAGGTAAACTGATGGTAAAGTCATGCTTGTGCCTGGCTGTTGAACAGGGCTTCCAAGGTCAGGCTGTTGAGGTGAAGGTTAAAGGTGAAAGACTCTTGCTGAGAGGAAAGTTAAGGAGTATGTAGGATATACCGTGTGGGGATTTGAGGATGGTCCTACAGTCAGACCTGTTTATCAGTGTTAGATGTGGCACAACTTACTGAATACAGATTGCATAACAAGCTTCGTCATTTTTCTGAGGTCTTGCCTACGTAGCTGTTTTTATTGTTTTCTCTATTTTCACCTGTCCAGCCGTCTCTTCAGCTGGGGACCCAAGTCTCTAGAACCCAAATGCCATCCAGTAGGATGCTTGCTAGTTACAGTATCACCTGTCTGGGCGAAATGTCACATCTTTAGTGTAGTTTTCTAGATTTGTCTCGTTGCAATAAAAATCTGGTTGCTGGCAAAACTGCAGCTTTCCTAGAGATATTCAGGTCGTAAGAGTAGAATCCTGTATTCCAACCGCTACTGCTTTACTGTGGGCCCGTCGTCTTGACCAGAGCTCTAAAAGTCGATTGAAATCTCTCACGTTATTCCAAGCTGCAGTGTTTCTATTTTCTCCTGCTCTAGACTTTCCTTCACTGGTGTTAACGAGCACTGGAGTTCGAGCACGTGTTTTCTCTAAGGAGAATATCGTCCTGTTCTGAAGTTACGTGCCTTTGTTGCTCTAGAGATGGCTGGAGAGGTTTGAGAACAGAGTGAATGAGTGGCATCACCTATATTATCCTGTGTATCTGCATTCACTGTAATGTAACCTAATGGAATTTATCCCCCCAACTGTAGAGCAGCTGTGTACCTTATTCCCCTCAGATGAAGGCCTGACTATTGACCTGAAGAATTTCCGGAAACCTGGTGAAAAGACCTTCACCCAAAGAAGCCGCCTATTTGTGGGGAATCTGCCCCCAGATATTACGGAGGAAGAGATGAGAAAGTTATTTGAGAAGTATGGGAAGGCAGGTGAAGTCTTCATACACAAGGACAAAGGCTTTGGCTTTATCAGGCTGGTGAGTGACTGTTGCTACCTTTGGAATGTTTCTGCGGCAATGATCCTCACACTGGAGAAGTATTGCTAGTTGGAAGTAGTAGATGTTCAAGTATCTTGCCTGCTGTCAGTTTTCCAGGAATATGGGATCTGCTTCTACAAGTAGTTTGGTCAGAGCCTTTTATAAGAAGGAATGTGAATGTGAACTCAGGCAGCTTGTGGCATGATTTATGAGGTATCTGGTAAAAGTCATTCTGAAATCAACTGGTAGAAAACAGAAGGAAGACATGGACGTGATGCTGTTGTAGAGAAGGTAGACTTCCACTTTCTGGAAGGGTGTGAGGATGAGGTTTCTGTGAGCATAGATTATCATGCAGTACTACTGGAGTGACAGACGCTCTTGAGGCAGGAGATCTCCAGATGATCACACTGAAGCATGGCCAGGAGGAGCCAACACAGAGCAACAGTTCTCAACTTCATTGACTCATGTACTACCTCTCTGAGAGCTCCAAGGTGTCCAAGGCGAACGGTTGGAGCATGAGGTTCCCACGCCAAAGTTTGGGGGTGCCTTGCTGTAGCGTAACTGCTTGGCAGTAACTTAAAGGGTAGGAAACTGGGAAGAGGTATGGGGGCATCTTTCAGGAGCTCTTCTATAGTGAACGTTTGCTTTTACAGTTACCAGACTTGGCTAATAGTTGAATCTTGGAGAAAAAAAAAGGGCTCGCTTTGAGGCCCAAATGTAATTATGTTTGATAGATAATGATCGGTTAATTGTTTGCTTAGTTAGTACTGACTGTTGGATTAAGCTTATGTCTGTTACGGTTTTCTTTCCCCCAAACTCTGTTTATGCCTATTCAGCTAGAGTCATTGATAACAGAGAATAGCTACGTTTTGTCAGGGCATTTTTTACCATGCTGTGGGAGGATTATTTGTTCCTCTCTGTGAAGTACTTGTTCAGGGGAAATAGGCTTTTGACCCTCTGTTGTGTCTGTGACTGGCTAATTCCATCCTGCATTGAGAGTTTTAATGATAACTTTTTTTATCTTTAGGAAACTCGCACTCTGGCAGAGATTGCAAAGGTGGAACTAGACAACATGCCTCTACGTGGGAAACAGCTAAGAGTGCGTTTTGCATGCCACAGCGCATCGCTGACAGTCAGGAACCTGCCTCAGTTTGTGTCCAATGAGCTCCTGGAGGAAGCCTTCTCTGTGTTTGGCCAGGTGGAAAGGGCTGTGGTTATTGTGGATGACAGAGGACGATCCTCTGGGAAAGGCATTGTGGAGTTCTCAGGGAAGCCTGCTGCTAGGAAAGCCCTGGATAGATGTAGTGATGGGTCTTTCCTGCTAACTACGTAAGTGCGGAGGGTGAGAAGTGCTATTCTGGTATGTGTGCAGGTTGAGGGGTGGCACTGGCTTGTGAGCAACATTTCTTAATGCCAGAGTGGGGCGTATGAGACATGGGACAGGACGTGGTAGATGGTTTTGCCCGAGGAGAATTTTGCTTAGCTTCCGTTTGGACAAGTCTGTGCTGAAACTCAGGTCTGAAAACTTTATTCTGGGAGGCCGCTAGTGGGGTAAGTGCATAAAACTGTCCAATAAGGTCTTTGTTGATAAAGCCTTCTTAGGGCAATTAAAGCAGCCTTCCACAAGCGGGAACTACTTTAGAGACTATCCTTCTTGTTTGAAAGTGAATCTCAAGTGTGTTAACTGTGTGCTCTGGGTAACTTCAGAGCTGAGTCTAGGAATGGGACTCCCCTCGGCAGAGTGCACCGCTAATTTGGAATGCTTATCCATCGCCGTCACGGGGCACAGGATCTATCTGAGAAGCTATTCAAATGGGTTGGATTGTTCTGGGTTTTGCCCGTAGTAAACCATCTTCACTGTGCTTGAATATCACAAGACAGCAAAGCAGACTCTTGGAAAAGTATATGAGTGTGCTTGAATAAATAGCTAATTCTAGAACACGTTCCACAGAGCATGGCTTGTTGCTGTAACAGTTAAGGGAGGGACCTCTTTTGACCTTTGAGGAATATAAAAATACTGTGTATTTTGTATACGTGCTCATAGCATTTGATAATGGAACGCTTCCTGAAATCAAGGCTATATTGTTAGTTTCTAAAGTAACTTGGAAACTTTGTGCCTTCTCACTTCCCACCTTTTTCCTAGGGGGCTGCATATGACACAGCAGTACACAAGCACGTTCAGTTTCAAAAAGCAGCGCTCTCTCTCTTTTTTTTTTTTTTTTTTTTTTCTCCCTCATTCCTCTTTTCTTCCCTGAGACTCTTTGGGCACAGCCATCACAGTGTTTAGTGCTCTGCAGTAACATTGCTGCTGGGAAACTTTGAGGCTCTCTTAGCTTATTGGAATTATTTAGTCCCAGCGCTCTTGCTGATTCAGAAGTATATATCTTGAAAGAACCATGAAAACAAGTTTTAAAAAGTCGCCATGCAGTACTAAGCACTGCTAGTGTGTGACTTTGGCTCAGAGGGGAATATTCACTCTTGTTCTAGTTATCAGTGCATTAGTTCCTGATTATATCAGGGAGCCAAACCAGGGTGTTGCTTAGTTCTAGTTGAGGTTTGGCTCTGATTAAAGTTGTTCTGATTGGTCTTAGTTCGTGGAAGTAACAGCTAGGTAACCTTAAACTCATTGAAATTGGTGCACCTTGGAAAATAAGACTGTTATTAATGGAACATGTCACAGTAGAAAAATTACATTATGAAGCTTCATCTGAGGAAAGATATTATAGCCTCCCATATCCTGTCTTCTTGCCGGAGTCTGGGCACCACTTGCGCTTTTGAAAAGCACGAATGTTTCTTTCCTGTTTACCTAACTGTCAAAGGAGGTTGAGGAGCTAAAGAGAAGCTGTTGTGATGAGGGCATGAGCAGTATCAGTGCTGTGGTGGGGGAGTTAATTCAGAGGTAAGGGACTAATCCCACTTTCCTCTGTTAAATGCATTCCTCTACACAGAGAGGCCAGGGGGACAGAAGGACACGTGCAGTGTCTGTACTGTAAAGTGCACCAGTGGATTTCTGGTGGGGAAATTCAGACAGGGCCCAACAGGCACCTACAGAGCACTGCTATTGGCAGTAACAGCACACGGTTGCCTCACCAAGAGAAAAGGAATGAATGATACAGTCATGATCCTCCGGCGAGTAGCAGGGTAGTTAGACCTCACCTTGGGGTCTAGCAGACAAGGGCTTGTGTAGCACGTGGTCATCGGCCATGAATCAAGGGAGGAACGGGAGAAAAGACAGACTCTGGGGTCCAACAGACCTTGCGCTGAGTAGATCCTACTAAGGGAATGTCAATTTTCAGTTCAGCTGTTATTTTGAACCAGTAACTGGAGTATTCTTCTTTTGGTGCAGTTTGTTTTGGATCCAACAAGGATTTCAACTAACACTTCAGTTCCTGTTCTAGAAAAAAAAGCGTGTTCTAAGTGATTTCTGTTTTCTGTTTGGTTCGGACCCCTGGCTACTTTGAATCTCCTTGAGCGCTGCTAAAGCAGTGTTTTATAAAGTCCAGGCAAAACTGTACATGCTTTCCTGCACAGCAAACTTATTCCCGAGTTGTCCTGAAAGCACCTCGTGTTTTATTCGTAGGTTCCCTCGGCCTGTCACTGTGGAGCCCATGGATCAGTATGATGATGAAGAGGGACTACCAGAGAAACTGGTCATCAAAAACCAGCAGTATCACAAGTATGTGCTTCCTGTGAGAAAGGAGATGAGACTGTCTGTGGCCTAGGACATTGACTGGGTGCCTCAGTCTTTAGGGGTGTGGCTCGTCAATGCTACAAAAAGCTCCTCCTCTTTTTTTTTCCTGTAGATGTGATCTGACTGAAAAGAGAATGGCATGCACTGGTCTTTTGCTGTGGTTAGCTGAAAGAAAGCAGAGCTTGTGGATTTATGCTTTCATTTAGCTTTGTTGGATAAGCCTAGCAGCATCCACATATTTATCATAAGTGTTTGTATGCCTCCGTTGCTGGAGTCAAAATTGGTATCAACGTTTGAGATATCTGTTCAAGGGGCAGGCACGTGTGAGAAGCTGAGAGAATGAGTTGTGTTACTTGCTCGAAGTCCTGTAGAAAGTCTGTGGAGCAAACAGGCTTGAACCCACAGTGAAAGTAGAAGGAATTATGTGGATAGCATTAAGAGATTGTAGAGCTATCCAGGTATAAAGCCATGGTCTTTGAAGGCTTCTCGGTTTAAGTAGGTATCATAAGATCAGAGTCATGGGAATTAGTAAACCATGTGACCTCGTGAATTTTTCAAGTAGGGAAGATGGGAGCTGCAGGAGCAGGGAAGCTGCCTTAGGAATAGTGGGATGTTCCAGGTGCAGGGGCTGCAGAGATGAGTGAAATAAGCATGCGTCTTTGGCGGGGCTGTTTCTGGTGTATTTATGGGGTGGGTCTATAGGTGGGATAAGATGTGCAGCAGGAGCAAAGGCTGTTTCTTGCAGAGTATTCCTAAATGTCTTCTATCCAATAACTTTTGGTGTCTTATGAAAGCATTGTCATTGCTTGGTATGGGGGAGGACGGGACAGTTTCTGTGCATAATTAATCCTGTAAGAGAAAGGTCTGTGGATTGGTAAGAGGAGAGCGTTTCTAGGATTCTACCTAAATTTCTCCTTTCAATAATGTGTGTTGTTTTTTTTTTTTTTTTTTTTTTCCCCTGAGGAACAGATAAACTGGTATCTCAGGTGCGGCTTTTCATAAGAAACCAGAGGACAAAGTGGTTTGTTATCTGCTACAAAGAGAAATAGGTTTCTAATTGTTAAAAGGACCTGCCGTCGAATTTACATACGTACTGTATTTTTCCTAGTTCCTCCTTGCGCTGTTGAAGCATTCACTAGCTTTTCCTTGTCTGACAGGGAGCGAGAGCAACCTCCTCGATTTGCACAGCCTGGCAGCTTTGAGTATGAGTATGCTATGCGCTGGAAGGCTCTAATAGAAATGGAGAAGCAACAGCAAGAACAGGTAGACCGCAACATCAAGGAAGCTCGAGAGAAGCTGGAAATGGAGATGGAAGCAGCTCGCCATGAGCACCAAGTTATGCTCATGCGGCAAGGTACCAGTCAAAGATAAACATGATATCAAAACAAGACCCTGCTAAGTTCAGGGCTGCGTAGCTTAACAGACTAGAGCTGGCTGAAGATGAACCATGGCAAAGCTACTTGACTTCTAACCAGCCATAGCAGTATCAAATAAATGTGGAGATGTTGCTGTATTGCTGGCAGCTCTTTTACCTTATTCTCTTCTGCGATACAGTTTTAGTTAGGAATTGATGAGTGGTGGTAGAGGAGACAAGAGTTTGGTTGTTTTTTTTACTGTCATCTTTGCAGACTTAATGAGACGCCAGGAAGAACTGAGGAGAATGGAGGAATTGCATAACCAAGAAGTACAAAAACGTAAACAATTGGAACTCAGGTAAGGGGGCAGATTTTGAAATTCTGTGAACCCATGATATTCTGGAACTGAAGCACCTCTTCAGTGCGCTTAATTGCTCAGGGTGACAATTTAATTACTACCTAAAAAGTGGTTGTTACTTCAGGCTTTTTTTTTTTTTTTTTTTGCTCATAGGGAGAGTGTACGGTTGGTTTAAGATGCAAGAGGTAGGAGTTTCTTCCACTGATGATGAAGGACACAGACTAGCATTTCTTTTTTTACGTTTCGGTGTCTCAGTCTAGCACCGTGACTGAGGCCCGTAAAACAATCAGAACACGTACAATGATTCGGTGACTTTAGTGCTGCAGGTTGGGAAACCGCATTCTAGCATCTGTCCTCTCAGTTGAGAGGTAACTTAGCCTCAGACATTACTCTTGCTGTTCCAGCTCTTCCTTGTCTCAGGGTCATTGTGAGAAGCTCCAGACTACTTGTATGTATAGAAGAGACTTGACAGCTGTCTGTGGCCATTATATTACGTGTAGTCAGTATGTACTTGGGAGCGGCTGTGCACATGAGTGTTCTCTGATAGGGTTTTGTAGTGACCCCCTTAACATTGAGAGCAACCCTGTGATGTGGATGATTAGTCTGTGTTGTGCTGAGTATCTTTGGACTCTTTTTTGCAGGCAAGAGGAGGAACGCAGGCGCCGTGAGGAGGAAATGAGAAGGCAACAAGAAGAGATGATGAGACGCCAGCAAGAAGGCTTTAAAGGGAATTTTGCTGATGCGGTATGAGTTTTCCTGCTTCCCCGTTGCATCTTGACATTGGAATTTTGCCCTTCCGCAGCACAGGGCTTTTAACGGATGCTTAAAATGGTTGGGACGCTCTACATCCTCAGAGCGTTCTATCCCAAATCCACAGTTTTGTTAGGAAATATACATGCCCCAGTTATTGGATTACTGGATAACTTGTTTTCTCACTGCTGTTTGTGCAGGACTCCCAGTAGTCGTCTTGCTGCTCAGAAGACTATATGGTAGCTAATTTTATTCTAAGAGCAGTAATGAAGATATTCTTTCCTGAACTACTGCTGCAGAGTCCTGTTATGGGCATATGCTCAGCTCTATCCCTAGCCTGCAGTCTTTCTTCATCCTGCTTAGATGAAATGATCCCAACTTGAGGCAGTGCTGCAGACGTATTTTGGTTGCACTTGAAAGTCAGCCTTGGTCAATACTTTCTTGGAATGTAAATGTGTGATAATCTGCCTTTTAATAGCAGTAACTCTAGTTGTATTCTGATCTGTCTTATAAATCGTTTCCAATCCCAGCAGCTTTCTAGTGTGACAGCAGCAGTAGTGCTATAGAGGTGGTACAATAGCATCAGGGCTATCCAATGGCAAGGATTTATGTGTATTCATGTAAAATTGGCCCCTAAGCAAAATAGCTAAATCTGTGTAAAACTAAAGGGGCAAAACTGTGCACGTGTGAACGTTACCCTGCCTAGCAGCACTCCTGAGTTCTCTGAATAATAATGCCTTCCTATAATAAATAGCGGTACTGAGACTACAGGTGAAGTAAAGTGAAATCTGTTCTTCAATTCCCAACGTGGAAAAAGTATGACCCTCACCGAAGTGAGATGGTACCCCTGACTTTGCAGCGAGGGAGTTCTGTGCTGTGTGGCCTGTGCTCAAATGATAAAGAAAAACTGAACTCACTAACTGGAATTTTAATGTAAGCGGCCTAGCGCTATGTGTTCATTATATAAGCTTGCATTCTTTTCAACATGAAAAGCTTCTTAACCACACTGAGGGAAGTAGCCAAACTAATTCTTACTAATGCATTACTGCTGCTCAGCAGGTCTCTCCATCCAGACATCAGATATTTCTTTTATGCTGCTACGGTGGTCAATTCTGCACACGCAGCTTTGCTTTGCTCCTGGATGTTGTACCCTGCTTGTGAAAAGCAGTCTTGCAGAATGAGACATTTTAAGTAAGACCTGTTTGTTCAGTAGTTAATGGTGGAAGTAGCCCATTTCTTTTGAAGTTTACTCTAGGAATGACTCCTACCAAGTTTTCAGTAATAAAACCCCCAAACTAATTGAATATATAGAACTGTAATGAAGAATGCCTTCAGTTTTATCATTTGGAATGATTTTTTTTTCCCCCCCCAGAGGGAGCCACCAGATATGCGAATGGGGCAGATGGGTATGGGAGGTAAGAGTTTTCTGTGACTGTCTTTTCTATACGTGTGCATTTTCTTCTGTACAGAATTTGATTTTTTTTGTTGTTGTTGTTTTGAATAGTCTGTTTTATTGGATCATTATGTAGAAACTCACTCCAAGTAATTTTCTCCCAGTTCAGTGACAGGAAACATTCATATAACAAACATATCAAAAATTGGGCTTGAGGCAATGCTGTACAACATCTGTGAAAGAGTTAGTTCAGTATGTGGAAGACTTGGTTGAAGTTGCTGTCAGAGCCGTGATGTGATTAAGGTTCCCATAGAAGTTTGTACTGATAGAGAAACTGGTACAACATGTAAAACTAGACCTTGAGCCCAGGAGGCAATCTCAATTACTGTATTTCCATATTTTGACTACATGACCTAGAGTTTTAGGTCACGTGGACAAGAGCCAGTGGAAAAAGTAGGTGTTCAGTGGTTAATAATAAAGATGGTGAGCATTAGAGTCTGCTATGCCTTCAGATAATACTGGAATGCAAGATCAGTTTGTCTTGGCCTAATAGTGCAAAACTAGGTAATAGATTAGGGCTTTGTCCCTGGGTATAATGCTACAGAGAGGAGGTGGCATGGTGTTTTTGGCTCTGGAGCGATGAGTGGACGCTGGCTTCCTCCCTGTGTCTGCCAGGAATATTCTCCAGCTTTCTTTTGCAGGTACCATTGGCATGAACAATAGGGGAGCTATGGGTGGTACCAACGTCCCAGCTGCTGCACCTCCTGCAGCTGGTCCTGGAGCTATGATACCTGATGGAGCCATGGGAATGGTAAAGTACCTGCATCTGCTCTTTGTGCACACCATCTTAACTGTAGGATGTGTTGTTTCCATTGTTAGGAGCTATGCTGCTGAAGTCAAAGGTGTTTACCTGACCTTTAGCTCCCTCTCAAATCTTTAGAAGATGGTCTTGCTTTGATACACGTTGGTAATTTTGAGGAGACTGAGCCAAGCCTAATACTTTACTTCAAAAATAGCTAGTGCCAAAACACTTGTTGGAGAGATTTTAGTGTTAACCTGTGGCTACTAAAAAGGCATGTTGGGAAGCACCTCTGAATTAGAGCGCCCGGAGACCTAGATTCTTGCAAGCAGAATGCCCAAGCTTTCAGGAATACTTTGCCCGTCACCAACATTTGAAAATAATGAACGTTTCCCTTCGAAGCTAATAGTCCAAAATGAGTGTGGCAATAGTAAATAAGTAGGCTAAAACAAATTGTGCTAATTTGCTTGAAGAAGTAAAGAGCAAAGAACCATTGGAGATTATGCTTGTTTCCTTGTCCCTTTCAATTGTTATATTTAACTGAATTTTAAACAGTATCTTTGCAGAGAGTCTTTGACTTTTCTAGTAAGGCAAAGAAAATTTAAATGCTTGGTCAGCAGAAGTCAAGGCTGAATGCTATCTCCAAAGCCTGGGAACGAGACAGTTCCCCAGCTTTACACTCCCCCATACCGTCCTCCCCACCTTCACGAGCCTTATACAGTTTAGCAGCTTCTTAGGTGTCCTCCTCCTCACTGAGTATATGTCACCATAGAATTAGGAAGACAGAGTCCTAAGGAAAATTCCAAATGCAAATTTAAACTTTAAAAACAGCTAATGGAAAGCGAGAAAATCCTTTCATTATAAATCCTAAGCAAAAAACTCTTAAAAGATTTTTTTTTAAGAAGAAAACTTGCAGCCAATCTCTGCTTCAATAACAGGATATGAGAAATGAAATTCTTAATAAATTTAGTTCTAGTACTGATTGTGAACTGAAGCATGTTGCTCTGACATATACAGTAGCTGTACAAAGTTATTTTCCCCCTGCATGCTGCAACAACCTTACAAAAGGTCAGTTTATTAATTCTCCATGAGCATGAAGGAAAAATGCTTTTAAGAACAGTGTTTATCTTAACGGTCATTGAGCTACCAGTGGGATAAGTTGAAAAAAGTGTAGTTTTAGACAGGAGTTGCAGTAACTTACTGAGTTACTGTGATTTAGTTGGTGAACGGTCATTGACTGCACATATGTTCTTAGCCTGTCACAAAAGTGCAATAAAATGTTGTTTCAAACTTCCATAGAAGTTGTTTAAGGTGACATGTTTTACATGGAGGGCAGTGAGACTCAGGGCCTACGTGTGGTCAGTTACTGTTGTGAGTAATGACTTGTTAAGGTGAAATAACTCAGTTGCTTGCAGTCGCCTGTCTGGTTTTGGAGCTGGTGTGCTCATGGAGCAGCATTATACACAGGCCAGGCTGTGTAAGCGTGTGAAAAGATTGATGTAGTGAGAAAAACATCGTGCTCACATTCAGACTTGTCTGCAGCTAGTTACAGAAAGAGTCCTCATGGCCTACTGTGATATTGCACCAGGTTGTGTTTGTGCTGGATAGGTTTTTACAGTATTTGTGCTTGGTCTCCTTAAAAAATGTCTCCCTTTCAAAATAATGAAAGGAACACAAAATAAATGTTCATGTTGTTGCAGACTGCAACTTGTAACTTTCAGTTTGGGGCATTTCTTTATTTTGCCTGTGAAATTTAACCTTGTAAAGCAAATCGTGTGGGAATGGGGATGACCTGGTAGCAGCTGAAATCGGGGGACTTCTAAGGAACTCAAGCCTCAGTGATAAGCACTTATGGCTTTACTGCAGAGCCTCACAACAGACCATGGCATCTGTGGCATCTGTCATTCCTATCTGTTGCACAGAGGATTGATCCATTCACAGTATCAGCATTTCAAATCAGCAGTAGACACAGCAGCAAAGTCGAGCTTATCCAGAAAGTTCGTCTTCCTTTTCCAGTTTATATCAATTGGTCTAATAAAAAAAAAAAAAATCCTGCAAACCTTCCCACTTGGACTTCTTGGTTTATCACGGCTGCTACATCATGTAAAATTGTTTGCTCATAAAGAACAGCATTTTATTTCTCTACTGGTTTTCATACCTGTGGGTAGGGACAGTGGAGTGGCTAAGGCTGAGGGAATACATGCTGCACAAAAAGTGCCGCGTCGTTTCTCTTATGGCCAGACCTATGTATAGTCATTTTGGAAATGATACTAAGCAGTATGATTCAGTAATCTACAGCAATACAAAAAAAGCAGAGAACTGCTGCATAGCTGAGGACAAAGAATAACTGGAGCCTGATGTAAAGCAGCTCTGCTCTATATGGTTACTTAGCCCCGGTACGGGGGGAAGGAAGAGGTAGTGGCTGCCTCCGGTTCCCGTACTTCCCATAAGGAAGTACCGTGACCAGCATGAGGGCAGCCAAGTAGTGGTACAGGCTTCCCAGAGAGGCTTTGCAGTCTTCGTCCTTGGAGGTTTTCAAGACCAGACTGGATAAGGCTGCTTCTAACATGGCCTGACCTCATAGCTGACTCTCCTTTGAGCAGGAGGTTGGACTAGAGACCTCCTGAGGTCCTTTCCAGCTTGGATTATCCTTTGATCCTCTTCTCCCTGCTGGAAGAGGCTATGCAATAGCAATACCCCACCTAAGGAAGGGGAGAGCCAGCAGAATGGAAATAATAGGATACAGCTAGAGCACAAGACTAGTGTTGCAGACTTATTTTGGAATCGGTGTTGCATATGCTTGGATTGTGATACTGCTGTAGTATCGGTATACTGCTCATCACTGGCATTCAGTTTGGGTAAAGGAGTGTGGTAGAAATGGGAAATTTTCCTTTCCCAGACTCCATTGCTCAGATATTCCATGCCAGGGCACTAGTTTGTGAGGTGCTATAAGCTGTATTCCAGTATGCTTGGCTCCAGGTTACGAGGGGAAAGGGACTGCCTGTGACACTTATCTTACTGGAGTCGTATCAGTCCAGTCTTTGGGCTTTGGGGTTATTTTTTGGTGGGGTGGGAGTTTATAACAAGGTCAATTGGAACTGTGGAGCCCTGATAAGATTCAAATCAACTGAAATGGCTTTTAACTGTAGGATTTGTTTTTTGTTGTTCCCCCCCCCCCCCCTTTCTGCCTCTTCTGCACTATTGCTCTTTACAAGACTCCACCTCCGCCTGCGGATCGTTTTGGCCAGGGCAGCGCAATGGAAGGACTCGGAGCTATGGGAGGGAACCCACCTGCCTTCAACAGAGGAAATCCAGGGGGTGACTTTGGCCCTAATAAGCGTCGCAGATACTAACAGGATTAAACTACCCCCTGCACACGCCCCAAAGAGGAAAGGAATCTCAGCAGGCCATACAGGGTTTCTACTCAGGGGGTGATATTCAAAATAGTTCATTAGGGCCTGCTTTGGTAAAGCCACTCTAGGACAAGGGGAGTGCAGTCTGACTGGTAAAAGGTTTTAGAAAATTTCATGTGGTGCATTCCTATAATTTCAATGTGAAAAATGGATTCTGAGAGGTTGCCATGGTTGTTCAGTAACGGTAAGATCTGGCAAGGACCTTAATGCCTTGACCATTCCGGGTTTCCTATTTGCAGTCGGAGTCCTGAGACTAAACTAGATACAAGCGGAGTATGTCTTGGCATTTTTTTTTTAGCGTAGTGAACCTTGCTTAAAGCACAGGCAAGTCTCTGAGGAACTAGGGCAGCATCTGGGTACTTTGCAGTTCCCATGACTCTGTAAATTTATATAGCTCCAAATGATCCATCATGTAGTGAATTGGGGAAATTTTATGTTCTTTTATTTCTTTTCTTTCCTCTTAACCTGTAGTTATTCTTTTTCTCTGGACCATCTGTTTCTTTAAAGTAGTTGACCGTCATGTGCAGCCTGAATGGCTAGAAGGCTCTTGTTTGGATGGATTTTTTGATAACGTGTTGTATCGCTGTTTATTTTTACTGGTAGTAAAGTACAATCTATTGGACAAAGATACTGTATCTCATGCTGAAGATTTAACTGAAACAAATGTTTGTATAATCTTAACCTTGCCTGTCTTTTGTGTAGAAGTACTACAAGATTTTTCATTTAGTGTAAACTGTTTGAACACAAGCTGTAATTGTCCCACTAACAAGTTTGAGTTTGTCTGAGGAATGTTACAGGAATGCATTATTAAAGTGGATTTTAAGCCTTTTTTATCTGGTGTGCTGTCTATTCTGTTTCTGGAAAAAAAAAAAAAAAAAAAGAGTACGTATAGCTTGAAGTAAATTGGGCTTCAGAATGTGGCGCAAAGGTTGTTCTTACACAGCTACGTGAGGAGCCTGTTTAATCCTGGAGAGTTTTCCAACAATTCTCCAAAGGAGTTTTATTTATGTTTTGGAAGGACACCTTCAGCTTGGCATTTCAGAGGAAATTAAGAGAACTCATGAGGCACCTAGGATATGTCTATGTTGCAGGTGCAGAGAAGCCAGACAAGAGTTGTTCGCATAATTCTCGCAGGGAGCCTGGAGTTCAGTTAACGACTGATCTGCGTAGCACAAAGTTGTCTCTCTGTCTCTTTGCTGCGTTGCAGACTGTTGCAGACTCTGACTACAATGCAGACCTTGCCGTAGAGCTCTCCAAGCTCCTCTGCTGGGGCAGGAAGCAGAACACTCGTAACTGCCAGTGAAGACCGAGCAATACTTTCTCTTGCGTAATGTATGCTGCAATCTGTAGGGACAGGAGTCTTCCATGACTTGTGTTCTCACACTGAGACTCTTGGGTTGAGAGTGGGGTGGGGTAAGCAGAGGAGGGAGGTCAAGAAGAAATCCAGGTGAGAAAGGGAGGAACACGAGTTACGCCCTGAGATCATAGGGAGCTGCTGTACAGACTTAGAACAGGTAAGATCAGAATATTTTCAGGTGCCTAGTGTTATCAAGGCAAGAGCTTTAAAAGGTAGGGTTTGGCTTGTAGGTACCCTGTTTAAATAGAGAACGATGAATTAGTCGCTCTGTAGGGTTTTTATTGGTTTAGCCTTGTCATTTGATGGTTTATAATTAGCCTCTAATGGGATGATGGGTAGGGAGATGTATCTGGGAGAGACTGAAGCTGCTGCTCTTATTTCTTTAGCTTATTTCTTTGCCACTTTTGACAGCATCGACACTGTAGTTGTCAGGCAGGGCTGATATGGTATTTATTGTTGACTATCAGAGGGACTGTGACTTATCTGTAGGTACAGTATAGGGAGTTTGGTGATGTTTTTCATCTGTCATGTTGGCTCAGATATTCGAGATTTTGCAGTGTTGAGCTAAGTTGGCTAGAGTGCTAATTAGCTCTTCAGTTGCCCTGTGAAGGGGATGCATCTGTGATTGTTGCTTCCTGCATCCAAAACCTGAGTGGTAGGCATTCCCTAATGCCAGGGGGTTTGGTAAGTATGTGAAATGTTAGGAGAAGAAACTGTGAAGTCGCACCCAAGTGTCTGAATTGTCTCCCATTCTGCATGTTTCTCAGCTGGCGTGCTAGTTAGTGAGTAGTCGAAACAGAAGTAACAGCTTTGGGGAAACAGCAGAGCCTAAACAGCCAGTGCTCTAGCAACTGCCTCAGTCCC